GTCTCGCCAGCTGCTGTGAACCCGTGCACCTCCCCACGGGTGCCCCAGACCGTCCCCATGGACCTGCGGATCGGGCAGCGTGTCGTCAAGCCCGGCTCTGACACCACCTTGCTGGCCCTGAAGCACACGCAGCAGCTGCAGCACCAGCTCTTCCTCGCCAGCCTCCACCAGCAGCAAGTGGAGCAGCTCGCCCACCAGCACGTGAGGGTACGGGCACCCTGGGGTGCAGGGGCCAGGGGGGACGACCCGCACCCGTTTTCGGTAGCGGCTGGGTGAGGTCTGGGCACTTGGAAGAATTAGTTTTGCCCCCAAAGCACGTAGCTCATGGTGCCGTGAGTGTCTGCCAGCGGTGCCCTGCGTCGGGGCTGCCTTTGCCCGAGCTCCCGTCTCTGGCAGGGATTAAGAGGAAGAGGCTGGAAATCCCAATGCCAAAATAACCTTCCCGGGTGAATTCCTTCTTTCCCCTGAGCTGGAGAGTCTATAGTGCTTTTGAGCCAGCCCGGAGACCTCTCTGATGCAAGGAGGCCGGTTAGGGAGTCAGGTGGGGGGGTTTCGTGTCTTACTTTCGGGCCAAATCTCCGTCCTGCCAAGGCCAGCGGGAGGGCTGGGGCCTCCTGGGATGTGCGAAGCGGGGAAATGTTTTCAGCCGCATACCATGTGTGCTGAGCGAGGAGCCAGAGCGACTGGACAGGATGCCTGGTGTCTGTGATCTGCCACTCCGCTTGGCCACCGCTGTTTGTGTGCCCTGGAGGCACGGCTTACTTACTTTACAAGCTAATTTGCTTTTCTGGGAAGCCTTCACTGAAATTCTCTAGTGTCACCCGGAATAGCACCCCTGCCCTGCGCGGCCTCTGCTGCCAGACTTGCGCTGTCACAGAACTACAGCGAGATTTAGCTCGGATGGTTCCTCTGGAGCCCAACGCTGAGAGCAGGGCCAGCTTCAGAGGTAGGGCAGGTTGTGGAGGAGGAGGAGGACCACGTCCAGGCGAGTTGGGGCCGTCTCTGAGCGCAGACATCACCCCCCGCCCGTCCCAGTCCCAGGGGCAGCACCGTGCTCACGGCGGGAATCCACTCGCTACGTCCGATTGGGATTTCCCTCCTGGCACGTCCGTCCCGTTGCTGCTCATCCGTTTGCTGTGCTCCTCGGAGGAGCCTGGCTCCAGCTGCTCCCTTTGGGTGGTGGAAGATGTGGTTGTACCCCCTCGCCTCCGGACTAAACAAGCCCAGCCTCATCCGCTCCTCTCACGTCCCACGTGCTCTGCCCCACTCTCAGGGGCTGGCATGGGCTCACTGGTCCCAGTATTGTCTGGAAGCTCTGGAGGAATCACACTGAGGTTTTTTTTTGAGCCCGAGTATCAGCTTGGTCCACACAAGGAGAGTTTGAGATGCTGCTGCTGCTGCCATGACTGTTGGGTCCGTAGAGGCATTTGTGCTTTCCGACCTCCCTGTGAGATGGGATCATCTCCGAAAACCTCAGTTCTGGAAAACACCAAGATCCAAACTTTTGAGACTTGTATAATAGGTTTTTAATTTTTTCCTTTTCTTAGTCAACTATGATTTTTATTTTTTGTTGTATTACAACATGCCTTAGCTACAGATATGTCAAAACACCACGGAAGGCAGCAAGTTGAAACAGACTGGTTTGAATTTTACAATGTCCCTGGGGAGAGCGTCTCTGGAGACAAAGATGCGTCCGGTTTGCTGTGATGAAACAACTTACCATGTTCTTGTCAGCCAGGGCTGCCCGTCACGTTTCCAAAAATGACAGAACAGACGGTTTCAGACATGCTCCATCACCGTGTCATCGTGCCTTGGGCTTGGGGAGGGGGCAAGGGGGGCTTTGGTCTGTGTTAGGCGAGGTGCTGATGCGACTCTCCTCTCGTAGGTGACCATGGAGTCCCCGCACCGCGAAGCCGAGCCTGGGCAACAGGAACAGGAGCTGCGGCAGATCCTCAACAAGGACAAGAGCAAACGAAGTAAGAGCTTCTGTGCGTCTACCAGCACGTGGCACCGGGCGCCGCATCGCTGCCCGAGGAGCCGCGTCCCTGTGTTAGGCGAGGTGCTGATGCGACTCTCCTCTCGTAGGTGACCATGGAGTCCCCGCACCGCGAAGCCGAGCCTGGGCAACAGGAACAGGAGCTGCGGCAGATCCTCAACAAGGACAAGAGCAAACGAAGTAAGAGCTTCTGTGCGTCTACCAGCACGTGGCACCGGGCGCCGCATCGCTGCCCGAGGAGCCGCGTCCCCGAAACCAGGACACCCGCCTCACAGAGGGAGTGGGATGAGAGTGGCTTTTAGAAGGGGGCTCAGCAGGCGGGTCTGCCCTTCTCCAGACCGAGCTCTGCCTTCTCTCTGTCTAAAGGCGTGTGATGGCATCCACGCCACTGAGCATCTGTCCTGTGCCTCAAACTGAGCCCTGCTCCGTGCCTGCCCGGGGCCAAGGGAACAGCTTCGTGTCCGCGGGGAAGTCGGGTCCTTCTGAGCAGCGATGCCAGCATGCTGCGCTCAGCAGCTGGCAAGAGATTTATTTGGCCCTGGCCTGGCTGGCGTTTGTCCTTCGTGTCCTTCCTAGCGATGCCAACCAGGCGTTCGCAGTAGATCTCCCCGCTAACGTTGCGTCGTGCCCTACGGCCGCTGCAGCGGTGCTCCCCGAGCTGACCGTGCTTGTGACTGTCCAGGGCAGGGCACGAAAATTTGCCTTTTGAACTTGCACCCGTGGCAGTGGGGAGAGGTTAGTGGGTGCCACCGCTCTGGGCAGAAAGGTTTGCAAACCCTGTCCGGCTGCGATCTCCCTGCGCCATCTAGTGCCAGTCGCTGCTGGGAGCTTGCTCTGAGATGTGCAGAGCTCTCTTCGTCACGACGCAAAGATGCAGCTGCAGCGTGCATGGGATGCGCTGCGCCCGGAACGGTGTCCGTGAGCCTACCATCCACCTGCCCCTCCAGTCTGAGCTCTCTCGGGGTGCCGATATATTTATTCCCTTGGCTGCCATGCGGCTGCGGAGCACAGGCTGCTCTGCTGCGGTTCACAGGGTCGATGGGTCTGATTGCGATGCTGTAAACGCAGCGCGTGCCCTTTCCGTGCCGTTCCTGAGCAAACAGCTCCTACGAACGCAGTCGGCTCGGCGTGGCTGAGCGTGAGAGCTTATGCTCAGAACCTTTGTGCAATCTGGGGAGGTAATCATACAAATTAATTAACGAACTTGTGCTCGGAGGTGCCGAACACTGGTGCGGAAGCGTGGAGCATCCCCATTGTAACCACAGAGCGTCCCTGCTGGAATGGACGGATGGGGATATGGCCTGGCAGGGGTGGGAGCATGGGAACGGGCCTTCGTCCAATGTGGTGATCTGCTCATGGCAGCCAGGGGCTGGCGATTGCAGCACCCTGCCGCAGTCAGACCTCTGCCTGGGGGTGTTTCACCACCGCGGTGGAGCCAGGTGTTGAACGTGGGTCGGTGCTGTTTGTTCGCCAGCGGGTTGTGGTAAGTCTCGTGCTCTTCTGGAAGAGTGCAGCTCCACCAAGAGCTTCAGGAGCCTCAAAGTTATCCCCTGAACTGTTTGGAGGTGCTTTCTTTTTCTTGCTCGCTCTCATGCAAGCTGTCCCTGTTTGGGGGCAGAGCGTGGCTGCTGGGGGAGCTGAGGTGCGGGCCGAGCAGAGCTGTACGCCATCAGCTGGAAATTATCGTCAGCCTCTAACACCGACTCAAAGAGCCTTGGGGCACAGTGTCTCTGGAGAGGGATCCCATGCACCCATGGGAGTTTTGTCCCTGCTGTACGAGCCACGTTGTGCTTTCGTGCTTTATTCTGTGGGTGTCAGCTTATACCTGCTCTCTCTGGCTCGGATGAAGCAGGCAGATCTGCAGCTGAGACTCACCTCTGGCCGTGCTCTCCCTCTCGCCTAACGCTCAGCGAGGCGCATGCAGAAAAGATCAGGCTCCTGAGATGACGTGGGAGAGCTGAGGTGGGACAAGGATGCTTCCCTGACCGGCCGGGAAACTCCGGTTGCCCCAGCTGGCCTTTCTCTCCCTGAGCCAACCTTGACCTGAGAACTGCACCAAGCATCTCCGCGGGGTTTTCTCAGTGTCCGTGTGCTTGTAGGGGGTCTTCAGCCATCCTGGCGTTACTCGTGGAGCCGTGGGGCTGCACTTGTGTCTACAGGGATCATTTAAGGTGCTTTGTGTTGGCTCTCAACCCTGTGTGGTCACTGCTGGTCTTCCTGCAGGTGCTGTGGCCAGCACGGTGGTGAAGCAGAAGCTGGCCGAGGTCATCCTGAAGAAGCAACAAGCAGCTTTGGAGAGGACCAGTAACCCCAACCCTTCAGCCATGCCATACAGGTAAAACAAGGGCACCCTCTGGCCTGCCCCAAGCAGGACATCTGCTCAGGACCCAGAAAAGCTGGCTGTTTATCTTGGGCAAGATCTTGCTGTTATCTTCTGCTTCCTGGTCTTTAGAGATACTGTTTAGTGAACGTCTGTTGGGGTGAGGTGGCTTGGTTTGTGTTAAGTGCTTGCAGGAGGTGAATGAAGCTCCCAGGCTGGTTTCCCTGACTTTGTTGGGCTTTGGTGGCTTGTCCCACTCCTGACCCACAAAAGTACTGTCAGGCTTCTTGTCTTTTGTCCCAAAACAAGGCAAAACCAGGAGCTGGATCCCTTCTGTGGGTGCTTGTGGTAGTGGACAGGTTGTCCACTGGCCCCTGGCAGAAGAGCTAGGACGTGCCCAGGAAAGGCAATGCCCCGTGGGCCACCCTTGCCCTGGAGGGCGTTGCGTGGGTGGCACATGGGTGCCAGCTGGCAAAGGTCTCTAACAAGGTGGCTTCTCTTCGTAGGTCTCTGGAGCCTCTGGATCCCGAGGGCCCTTCCCCTCCTGTGCTCAGCACTTTCCTGCCCCCCGTCCCCAGCACTTCTCTTGACCCCCCAGAGCATTTTCCGCTGCGGAAGACAGGTAAGGCCTCGAAGATAATGCCACCTCCCTCCCGCCACGATACCCTCGCAGCCCACTTGCAGGGGACAGCTGGAGCCGAGAAGTGGGGTGTCCTGGCCCCACAAAGCCAGTCCAGCTTCGCCCCCATCAGCAGCGGGGCCGGGACTAACTGCCTTGTCTGCCCGCAGCATCTGAGCCCAACCTGAAGGTGCGTTGCAAGCCCAGGAAGTGCCTTGACCGACGCAAGAACCCCCTGACGCGGAAGGAGAGCGCTCCCCCCTCGCTGAAGAGGCGGCCGCCCGAGGCCATCGGTGAGGCTTTGCCTGGATGGCGATACCTCGGGCGTTTGGAGAGACCTTGGGGCCAGGCTGGAGCAGCCACAGTCTGCCCGGGATCCTGCGCGACGTCTACCTGGAGGTCGTGTCTCCGGGGCTCGGCACGTTATCGGTGGCCTCCTCGGGGCGCAGCCCACGGAGGGAGCTCTCCGCCGTGACGGTGCAGGGGTGGATGAGCCAGGAAAGGATGTTGCTGCAGCTGTACCCTGGGCCCAGGGATGGACCTGCAAGGCTGGAAGGGCCCAAGGCCCTGAGCAAACGCGGCTGGCCGGGATTCCTCACCGTGGTGCGGTGCCTCCCACGCTGGCAGGGCAGCTCCGTCTCCACTCCAGGGAGATTTGGCCCTAGGAGGGCGGTGGGCAGCTGTTGGAGGGAGGGAGGGCTACGAAGGGCTGGGGCAGGGGGTGTGCAGCCCTTCTCTGGGTGCCTGTGCCCATCACCCCCCACTTCTCTTCCTTATGCAGACTCCTCCCCGAGCAGTAGCAGCACCCCCGT